TTATAGCTAAAATGTAGTTTAGGCTGTTTTAAAACAATATTATGAAAAATTTTGAACATACTGAAAAGTTGAGTAACTGTGATAAACCATCTAACCACCATCTAGATTTGAAAATTACAATTTTACTATATTTGCAAATGTGATACTCTGGCTTAGAAATAGTTAGCATATTCAGGGAGCAAGAAAGGACATCAGTGTGGCTAGACCTCTGTGATAAAGGCCAGAGGGCTGTGCTGTGAATTGGAGATGAGTAAAGCCTAGAGGACTTGTCATAAGGACTTTTGATTTTATTCTAAGGACAGTGAAAAGTTATTGAAGGACCTGAATCAGTGGGTTCTTGTTGCTATTACTTAAAATTCCCCCGAATACTTATATAAGGAAATAAGATGATAAAGAAGAAATGAGAAAGGCGGGCAGATTGTTATAGAGAAAGGTATCTTTTAGCCACCTGAAGCCTTATTTAAAACCATTGCTTCCTCTAGCTTGGGCATCTCCATTCTCAGAATTGTCAGTTCCAAAAACCAGACATGTGCCTGTGTTACAAATCCTTCAAGGTCATAGAGCACTCTGAATGGTACTGCTTGATGGCCCTTTGGAAGGCACTCTCTCCACTCTTTAGAGAAAGCAGTACCAGCTGAAGAGTCCACTCTTAAAGGTACCTTTACTATCCTTTGAGCATTGTCTGAAGGTCATATGTTGTTCTGTGAAGGTATTAACTCCTGTTTCTTGTGAGTTTGGATTGGAGTAAGGAGACTGAAGTAAGAGTTGAAGCATGAAGCTCAACTCATTTTAAAACTAAGTTAGCATTGGATTCCAAATCCTCTTGTTTCTCTTTATAACTAAAATCAATTAGTGATTCATGAAAACTGTTTAGTCACCTGTGTATTTTTTATAATGGAATGAAATAGAATATATCAATTTTAGCTTTGTGTGTGTGTGCATGCACGTGCGTGTGTGTGTAACAAATAAGTTTCATATTGTAGATCATGACAAAATTTGAAAACGCCTGCTGCTTCTACTGGCTCTAACTTAAAAGGTTAGGAAGTAAGCAGCCTTACTTTTCTCTGTCATTCAGTGCCTCCTTTCAAGTGTTTTATGGATAGTACTTTTTATGAATTAAGGATGGATTATTTTGTTTTATCCATTGATTTCTTTAAATTTAGTTTTTAGGTTTATCCATGTATGTAATTCAAAGAGTCATTCTAAGAAAAAAATACCAGATCCCCATCCTTTTCCTGCTCCCTGTAGGTAATACCTTTCAACTGTTTTGGGTAATTGTTTTGGTGTCTTTCTCCACATCTTTAATGAACATGCTTTTATGACACATCCGTGATTTCACTGTATTGCTTGTGAGACGAAGTACATTGAGACATGTTTTTGCCTCAGTAGCTGCTTTAATTTTCTTTATTGTACTCATTGTAAATTCAGTAACACAAAATCAGTACTTAGTAGCTATACGCACATAAATCTAACATGTTTAAGAACTTTATTTCTTAAATCATTCTTTTTTTTTTTTTTTTTAAACCCTTTTAGCAATGTTCTAGGTACATGTATTGTCTGTCTACTTGGTCATCACTTAGGGGCCCTCCTTGAATTGTAAGCTTTTCTGTATTTTCGATTATTTTAAAAGTTGAATTACTGAGTGGCACTTTTTTTTTTTTTTAAACCCTTTTAGCAATGTTCTAGGTACATGTATTGTCTATCTACTTGGTCATCACTTAGGGGCCATCCTTGAATTGTAAGCTTTTCTGTATTTTCGATTATTTTAAAAGTTGAATTACTGAGTGGCATACACATTACTATAGGATATTTAAGCTTAATACATAGCAAACCTAGACGTAAAAAACAAATTCTCAAATGCAGAAGTTTTAGGGGGGTTTATTTTTTTTTATTTTTATTTTTTTTACTAATGAAGTCTCGGGTAGTTAAGAGGTTGTGAGTCTGAGGACATAAATGAAGGAAATAAAGGATTTGTTGACTATTAATGCACTCATACTTTAAAAATATGGGCCATATACTTTTACTTAATTGTTCTTTAACTGTATTTTTAAAGCTGAGTCATAAAGTATTTGTGTGGGTGATGTGGGGGAGAATATGAACATGTCACGAGTAACTTCACCAATGTGATTGGATTCTGCTGAGGAATGTTCAATTCTTGTTTCAGGTACTTGTTACCGTGTTTTCTCAGAGTAAAGTCTTATTTGTTTATATGTTCTGTAAAATCTTAGCTGCCTGGTGTATTAAATTAAGAGGAATGATTGTATCGTACCTCCCCTTTCCCTCACAGAGGCATTTTATGAATGTGTTCTCTTTGGCAGCTGTATTCTTTCTGCTGTGACCAGCATTTGGTGTGTGGTAGTACTTTTTAAACTTCCTTTAACCTGGAAAGTCACCTCTTCCACCATTGAGCCAGAGCCGAAAATATCTCCGTTGCATAGCACCATAACACTTCCTGCAAAATACTGTTAAACATTCCCACTCTCCATCCAGCATTGACATATATAGCATCGCTGCTATTATTTGCAGAGTTACAGATAGGAAAGATATGGACTTATTATCATAGAACTTATTGTGAGTATGACCCATTATGTTTATGGAGAAGCAACCTGCATGTCTCCCCAAACCTGTTTAAAAAAAAAAAAGTAATGGAAAAGACTGATCCAGAATTTGTGTCCTATCTAACCAGGTAATGAGAGAAACAATGTAACAGCTAGTTGGGAGTGACTCCCCTATAGTAAATTCACACTTCTTGTCATAGAAAATATATTTAGAAGGGGAGTTTAGCATCCTTGAATGTTGAGAACCAATGGTGGAAGACATGTATTAGGCTGTTTTTCTTTGATTAATGAAGCTATGGTTTTAATTTAATCAAAAAAGGATTTATAAGCTGACAGAGGGTGAGATAGGCAATTTTGGGGGATGGGTATTGATCAGAAATATCACATCAAAATATGTTGAGAGGCTGGTCTGAGTGCAGTGGTGTTTATAACTAATTGATCATGGCCAGTAACACATTTCTTTGTTCTTTCTCCACTCCCACTGCTTCACTTGACTACTACTACTAATAATAATAAACATGTTGAGAAATAACATACTTGTTTATGATTTAATTGTAGGCTTAACATTAGCATTCACTTGCATGCTATTTTCCCCTAATATTTGTTCTTTGTAAACAGATATGTAGGTCACTGTATCTCATAGTTCAGGGAAGAAAACATTCAAGTTCTTTCTTCAAATGAAATCTTAGGCAGAGTTCAAAACAAATGTTATGATACCATGTAATGAGATATTTTTGTGTTTACATTCAGGGAGAAACAAAGAAGGGTTGGGGTATCTGAGACCTACCTACCTCTTCATACTTTGGTGTGGGGGTGGGATGGGGCATCTGGAGCAGTTAAATATGGGATGTTGGAACTCATGGTTTGAAAACCACTTACTAAGTGATCCATGAGATTCTTCTGAAAATTGTTATCTTTTAGTATCTCATGTGAGGCTGTTTAACGCCTGTGAGTTTAACTTCTTTTAGTTTATTTAGTGAAAGAAATTGTAACACAACATCTCCCCAAGTCACTTCCATTGCTTGTTTTGTTAACTTCATTTTTTCATGGTGGCTTCTTGAAATAGTTGTATGTCCTCCTTTTGGATAATATAATATTGTGGTTTATGTAGTTGAAATGTTGTTTTCTGCTACCCTCAAAATTAAGAACTTCCAGAAGTTCATTATCCCCAGTGTTTTATCCAGTGAATTCTTTCATAGATGATCACACCTAGCGTCAGGCTTTTTTACCTGCCCGTAATCCTGCCAACTGGGCCAATTGTTGAGCTAGGGCTGGGTGAGATGATCACACCTAGCATCAGGCTTTTTTACCTGCCCGTAATCCTGCCAACTGGGCCAATTGTTGAGCTAGGGCTGGGTCCGGAGCTCACAGACCTCTCAAGCCTGTTCACAGACTGGGTCACAAACCCTTCACACGCCAGGCTGGGTCCCCAGACCCCTCACACACCAGCATGGCGGACACCCAAGGCAGTAGATGCCAGCCAGGTGGCAACACTGCCCATGCGCACTAACTCCATCCACACACAACTTATTTACAAAGAATGTACCACACCACCCCCAACCGCGCCTAAGGCAAGGGGGGCCTGATTAAATTATTTTTCCAACACCCAGACAGAAAGAGTATGTGTCAAAACTGTCACATAAGGGATTTGAAGATCTGATGGGAGAGTTGTCTAAGGTGCCATCCAAGGTTCTCTCCAGCCATACGACCCTGTGACTGACTGAACCAGGAGGATAAGTGTGCCAAGGAAGCGTATGCTGTGTTTGGTGCAGCCTGCTGGTTGGCTTAGGAGGAGCAGCATGAACACTGGGAAAAGAACATCTGGAGAGAGCTAGATAGTAGGCCTGTTGCTCATGCTGTTTGGCCAAGCTCCTTGCCTAACTTTTTGCCTCAATTTCCTCAACTAAAATAGAGATACCTATTAATTGGAGGTATATTGTGGTGGTTAAGGATACTTTGGATCAAGACAGACCTGAGCTTGTTTTACTACATAATATCTTGAGTCCGATTCTCAGCCTTGCTAAATTTCACCAGTAAATGAGAGCAGTAATGTCCCTCAGGTGATTGTTTGAAAGAATTCCATGAGATGGTGAATTAAAGTGCTTAGCATTAGCATCAGCTGGCAGAAGTCATTGCCCTGTGAGTGGTAGTTGCTGCTACCTACATCAGCAGCATGTTCCTCCTCAGATGGGTGGTTAGGAGAACAGATGATTTGAAAAGAAAAAAAGTGTTTTGAGAGGTACGGAGTGTTCTATAATTCTAAGACTTCTCTGTATTATCATTTCTTGCATACATAGATGTGTTTCCCAGTTCCTACTGATTCTGAAAGTCATACAAAATGACTTTCTCACGTACTGTTTTTTTTCCAGTATTAAGATTTAGAAAGTATGTCCTCTGTCTGTGCCACTTTTTCTCACGTGAGCCCTGTGCTGTATTCCAGGTGAAGCAGACGGAGTGCAGCGGAGGCCTCTGTTGCTGCCGTCATGCCGTTCCCATTTGGGAAGTCCCACAAATCTCCAGCAGACATTGTGAAGAACTTGAAGGAGAGCATGTCCGTTCTGGAAAAGCAAGACATTTCTGACAAAAAAGCAGAGAAGGTATGTATCTGGCTTTATATATATTTCAAATCTTTTAATTAAGAGCAAAGGTAAGACAAGTTATGAGGTAATTTTTAAAAATCAGCAATTCCAATTTGGGTTTTTTGGGGGTTTATAAAATATAGTCCTAAAGCAGCATTTGCTGCTTCTGAAACACAAGTTTTCTCCTATACTTCCATCTAACATCTTTATAACTTTTTTCCCAGTTTTTTAAGTTTATTTTAATTGTATTTATTTCATTCTTGTAGTATTTTATCTGATTCTTAAAATCAGCGTTTCCACCAGCAGTCTTCCTGGGATCTCTCTCTGGGTTTTCCTTCTATGTTCTCTGTATCCATGCCAAGTATTTCCACCTACCCAGGCACCACAGATTTTATCTGATTCTTAAAATCAGCGTTTCCACCAGCAGTCTTCCTGGGATCTCTCTCCGGGTTTTCCTTCTATGTTCTCTGTATCCATGCCAAGTATTTCCACCTACCCAGGCACCACAGTCCAAAACCTGACTTTCTTCCCAATCTCGTCTTGCTTGCTCTTCCCTAAAACATCATTTTTCACTAAATATTGTGTCTTCTACTTCCTAAAGTGTTTATGAATCGATTCTGACTTCCATTCCTTCTTGAAGAAGATCCTTATCTTTCTTATGGACCTTAGAAGTAGCTTTCTTACTGCACTTTCTAAAACAACTTCTGTTTTAAATCTTTAGTGCAGACTCTTCTCATAGCACACAAGACCCTTTGTGATCTGGTCTCTGCTTCTCTAGGTGAATTGTAACCCCTCTCCCTTATTCTGTAGGCTCTAGCAATCTCAACTAAGTCAAATAATCAAATAATATTGTTTTTAATGCCTTTGTTTCGTTCCTTCTGCCTGAAATGTTGTTCCCCTTCACCTCATTTCTACCAGAGCTCCCATTTATCTTTCAAAACTACCCCGAAACATTACTTTTTACTAGATGGCTTCCCAGAAGACTCCCTCTTTTGTCCCAACCCTCCCCCCTGAAATGAATCTCCACCATTTGGGCATCTGTCTTGGAAACATCAGAACTGCCGCCATCTTCAACCTGATTTTGTTTGTGTTGCACTTTTGTCTCCTTTACTTAGACTCGTTAGCTCTTTGACCAGTGTGTCATTTCTGGCCTACCTGTGCTCTGTACCCTCTACAGTACCTGACTCCCATGGGATGGATGCCTGCTGTTTATTGAATGAGTGTTTGATTGGAGTGAAATCTTCCATACTATCTTTTTATTTAGGAGGTTGTTTTCTGTCTTGAGATGAAGGTTAGAATGCTTAACTACTACCATCTTTTTAAGTCTAAGACCTGTAGTTTACTAGTATTCTGACAAAGAAGAGAAGTGCATGCTCATGGGATTAAGATGTGTAATTACAGGCTATTGAATTAGTATATTTTTCTTTCATTAGATGCAGTCTGCAATTTGTAAAATTTTCTATAATTCGACTTTACTTTAGATCTTCCATGGAAATTCTAGGCAGTTTCTATCACACCTGTACTAAGAGATGTAGATAAAATTTAGTAATATAATAAAACTTTAAAAAATCTTTGTAATTAAAAAGAATTTTGCCTTAGGTATAAATTAAATGCAATACCATCTCATAGTTCAGAAATCAGAAAGTAAACATTGAGAAATATTACTCTATTCCATTCTCTTTCCCATGTGATAGATAACCACTTTATTACTTTCTTGTGTTTCTTTATGCAGATAAAAGAGATATGAATATATTTTTTCTTTTTATACACAAAAGGTAGCATACTATATTCTATATAGTAAGCTTTCTACTGTCAAATGGCTTTCAGGGAAATTGTTATTCTAAGGAGCTACAATTTTCAAGTAGCTAAGGATAAGGATTTGTCTCTAGGACCCATGGAGGGGTAGGGAGGGATTTAAAAATTTTTGTCTTTTTATCTTATTTATTTTTGCTTTGAAATCCTCAGAAATATTTGATGCTTTCTTTACTTCTTAGATAGAATGTTGTAATCATTGTTCAAGGTGGTCAAGCTTATTCATGATTATTCAAGTTTCCAAATTTCAGAATTTAAATTTGGCAGCAAATACTTTTGTTTTCCTTGAAAGGACAGGTTCACTTTATTCATTTTTGAGAAAATGTCTGCCAAATGTCCAAGTCTTAATAATTCATCACTTTCTCTCCCAAGTAAAAATGAGGTTCCATAGTAAGTCTCGTAACTTAAACAATTATATAAGTGCCTTTTCTTTAAAACAACCAGTTATATTCTATAAGGAACCAAAGACACTTTATACATATATACAATTTAACATTTGTCACACCAAATGTTCAAAATATACATGTGAACTCAAAGATCAAGATTTAATAAAATTAATTTTTTACCGCTTCCTCATAGGCCTTCTTAAGTGAAACTGGCCTTCTTTCTTTCTTTCTTTTTTTTAACCAAGTGTATGGTGATGAAGACTACAATGACTGCTAGTACAGTTTGGCGTCACTGCCTGATTTGTGCCAAAATGTCAGCACCATCAGTACAAATAGCAATACAGTAGGAAAAAGGCAAATAATGTCTTAGTATTGATATAAAAACAGATTTAGCCTCACACACCCCTTGAAATGGTCTCAGGGACCCCAAAAGTCCACACTTTGAAATGTACTGTGAAATTAGTGGAAAGTGGGTGGGTGGTTGCAGGTAGGGGGAATGTCCTTCCTAATTTAGATGGGTTATATAGGGTAAGTCTCATCGTGAAGGTGGCATTGGAGATAAGTCCTAAAGTGATAGAAGGCAAATGTAATCTCTAATGGAATCCATATCATCTGCTTGACTAAATCCAGTGATTTTTCATCCAATGGCATTTTTGCCCTGTAAGGGGACACTTGGAATGTCAGGAGACATTTTTGGTCATAACACTAGGGATGGGCTGCTAATAACAGCTAGCTAGTACAGCTTGGAGATGATGGTAAACGTGAAATAGCCCCTCACAATGAAGAATTATCTGACCAAAAAATGTCAATAATGCTGAAGCTGAGAACTCCTGCTCTAAAACCAACATTAAGCAAGAACAGGGTAAACAAAGCAAACAAAACAGTTGAATTTATGAAAAATAAATTTCAGTTCAAAGGAAGGGGTCAACTCTGAAAAACAGTCGATGCAAATTACTTATTCTGAAATAGATTAAGACTAGGAGGGAAAACCTCTGAAATTTCCAGTTCATTTTATCAAGTTTCAGAAGGAAGTAGCAACTAATGTAAATGGTGATGAAGAGGGAACTGAGACCTGAAAACAATGGAAAGATGAAAATCTAATCAGTAAATCAAAAACCATGAAAAACAACTTTGATATCATACAACTCGACAGCAGTTCCGTAAAAGCAGGGTGCTTGCTATGCTCTGTTATTTAGCATTGTTCTATAAATTCTAGCCAGTGCAGAAAGAAATGGTTTTGAAATTTAAAAAACAAAAAAAACCACCAGCTATTGCAAATAGAGAAAATTACAGTGTTGAGATATTCATAAATGTTTATAAAACACAAGAGAATCAACGGGAAAATGAGAATTTATTAGGGCAGCTAAATGAGTAGAATGTTCATATCTTCCCTAAATGCCAACTATAACTATTTAGAAAATGTACTTTTTTAAAAAAAAGAAAAAAATATCATTTAATATAGCAACTAAAGTTAAAGATATCTGGGAATACTTTTATCAGTAAGTATGCTGAAACTATATGAAAAAAATTACAGAACTTTATTCAGAGGCACAAAAGAATACTTGGTCTGTGTTATTAGATGGAAAGATGGAATATAATTAAGATGCCATTTCTTCCCAATTTAATTTTTAAGCTTAAAGCAATTACATTCAGATTACAGGAGGATCTTTTAGGAACTTGACAAATATAAATTCTCTATTTTAAAGCAGAACTCATGTTTCAAACCTATTCCACTCACAGTCTTTACAATCACAGTTAACAGAACTCTACCCTCCTAGTTTTTCATACATAAGTATTGAGAATCATCTATGACTGCTTTCTCACTCCCCAAATCTATCCACTTTATCTGGAAAAAAGTTAAGAATTCATAATCTAACCACTTCTCTTCATTTTCCTTGTTACCAACCTAGTCTGAGCTATCATTATCCTTGCACTGGATGACTGCAGTATCCTCCTAACTGGTCTCCCTTGCCTCTCTACAACCATAGTGATTCTTTCAAAACATGAGTAAAATAATATTTCCCTTAGAGTAAAAGTCAAAGTTACTACAGGGGCCTAACGTAAGTTTTGCAGGCAAATCTTGCTTATCCCTTTTTTGTAAGGCTCATGAGCTAAGAATGATTTGTACATTTTTAAAGGGTTGGTTTAAAATGCAAAGAAGTATGTGCAACAGAGAACTTATGCCTAACGTAAGTTTTGCAGGCAAATCTTGCTTATCCCTTTTTTGTAAGGCTCATGAGCTAAGAATGGTTTGTACATTTTTAAAGGGTTGGTTTAAAATGCAAAGAAGTATGTGCAACAGAGAACTTATGTGGTCTGCAAAGCCTAAAAGACTTACTATCTGCCCCTTTACAGAAAAATAAATGCTGAACCCTGTCCTGGACAGCCAGGCCCATGACCCTCAGTGGTCTCTTCTAATACTCTTCTCCACATTGGTGTCCTTTCTTTGTGCCCTCCAGTCACACTCCTGTCTACGGTTTTTTGTATTTGGCTATTCCCTTTACCTATAATGTTTTTTCCCTCGCTCTCTATTTGGCTCACTCCCTATCTTTTTCAAGTTTTTCCTCAAATGCCACTTTTTACCCAATCCCCCATTTAAAATGCAATCCTGCCCTATGGCATTCCTATTCCCCCTTATTTTGCTCTATTTTCTCATGTAATATACTTAACAATGTTTTACTCTTTCTTTCCCCTCTTAGAATATAAACCTTCTAAAGACAGAGCTCAATAAATATTTGTATTTGTTGAAAATGGAATCAAAAGTGGTGTTAACATGAAACATTGTCCCCTTGTTTTCTTCTGAACTCTTAATGTTAGGTG